ATGTGGTGGTGCACACCTATAATCCCAGCACTCCAGAGGCTGAGGCAGGAGGATCCTTATAAATTCAAGGCCAGCCTTTATTGCATAGCAACACCGCATCTCAAAAAAAAAATGTCTACAGCCGTACCACCAAAAACATAAAAACCACCAAAAAAAAAAAAAAAAAAAAAATTCCAAAGCATACACTTCACTAAACTAGTAGTCAACGCATAAAAAATCATGCAAACCAAAAAAAAAAAAAAAAAAAAATCATGCAAACCAGGTACACTGGCCCATGCCTTGTAATTCCAGTATTCAGAGGGTTGAGGCAGGAGGATTTGCCTGGACTACATAGAGAGTTAAGGCCAGCCTGAACTACATAGCAAGACCTTATCTCAAAGCAATCATAATAATAATTATAATAAGCATACAAACCCGGGGGCTGGGGATTTAGCTCAGCAGCACACAGCCAGCCTGGCAAGCGCAAGGTCGTGAGTTCAATTCCCAGTACCAGAAAAAAACAAAACAAACAAAACAAAAACAAAAAGCAAACAAACTCATTTAATCCTCAGAACAACCCTGTAAGAAAGGAACTAGTATTATTCCTATGTTACAGGAAACTAAGACAAAAAAGTTTAGTAAGCTGCCCAAGATCACATGGCTGGTTAAGTGTGGGGCTAGGACACCAAGCTAAAGGAGGTAGTTACAGAGCCCATACCTGTAACCATTACTCTACACTGCCTCTCAAGGGGTAGAGAAGGTTGGTTATTCACTCATTATCTTTCGAAACCAGAGAGTGCTACCACTAGGCTGGCTAGTAAGCAGTTCGAGACTAACGCCCAGCTCAGCCCTGGTCTAACTCTGCGCACTCTCCTGACACACACCAGGTTTGGGAGAACCATCCAACAGTCCTTTCAGTCCCATGCTGTTTCGCCTGAAGAAATGGGAAATCAGCTTGATTGGGACTTGATCATGAAGCAGCAGGCCAGTGAGAAAGGCATCTGGTTCACTTACGAAGTCTGCACTGGCAGCTTCTGGTCAGACCGTGACAGAATCTGGCCTCAACTGTTCAAGTTTGCCCCCAGCCGCCAGCATCTTCTGCTGCAGTCCCATCTCTATCAGCTTTGGAAGGAGGGCGAAGGAGAGGAATCAAACAAGTGCCGGGCAAGCCCCAGGAAAGAACCTTAGACCCTTTCCCGCATGTGCGGAGAGGGCAATTCCCAGAACGAAAGGAATACCAGCACGACAGTAACTCCAAGCAACAAGATTTTCTTTTCTTTAGTACCCTTAACCCGGCACTGGCAAATTAGAGGAATCAGGAACTGAGGACACTTTTCGAACAACCCCTGGGCATTCCTAACACAGAACAGCGCAAGAAACCCGGGAGCCGGCGTTGCGGCAAGTTGAGTGGGCGAAGGCAAGAAAGGATTCTTCACACCTTCCCCAAGCTCTCAAATCCCTGCCGGCCAGAGGCCACAATCAGTCCTAGCTGTCTGTCCCTCTTCAGTCCAGGCATCTTCCTGAGCCACTCACTGCACACAGATGCCGGTCAGGGGAACAACAGCTTTAAGTGTTCCAGCTGCTCCAAGTGCGGCTCCTCTAACAGGCTCATTAGGAGTAAGACAGTAAAACACTAAGTGGTAGTCAGTCGTCTGCCTGGGAAGGAAGTGCAATGCTAATACGCTGCAGAAAACTCTTAAAGGTGCTTTAAGGAAAAGGGAAGATGACTGCTAAGGGGCCAGGCTGAAATCTTTTTTTTTTTTTTTTTTTTTTTTTTTTTTTTTTTTAGGCAGGGTCTTGCTATGCACTCCAGGCTGGCCTTGAGCTCACTTTGTAGCCCGGGCTGGTCTCGAACTCCCAGACATCCTCCTGCCTCAGCCTCCCTACTGCTGGGATTACAGCTGTGTGCCACCATGCTTGGCTGACACCTTACTTTCCTCCTAGGTCTAATCCTAAGTAAATTTTAACAGGGATGGCTGACTAGTGAAGTCACACAGAACTAGGTGGAAATCCAGGCTCCATGGGGCACGTGATTTGGTATGTGGTACAAATCCTAAGTATGGCGATTCATAGCCTGCACTTCAGAAAGGTGTCGTGAGCTCGAAACGAGATAATGCATAGTTTGTCTTCAGCACGACAGCACCCACGCAGTGAATGCGCGGTCCTGCTTCACCCCGTCCCCTCTCTCCACTCCGCCTCTCGATCATACACCCCTTCACACGCCGTGCCATCGCTGCCTCCGACAGCGAAACCCAGGCGGCGACACACGGGGCCTCCCGCTCTCCTTCCTGGAGCGGCATCTGGCTAAATCTGCAGACGAAAACCTGCAGAGAAGCTCTCGCCAAGCAAACACCAAACCAGGGCAGACAGGCTGGATCCTCAGCCCCAGCCGGGTGGCGCCTGTTGTTCACAGCGCGTCCGCGTCCTGCCAACGCACTGAGACAGACCCGGAGTACATTTCCGACTTGGCGAAGGCAGCACAAAGGTGACGAAGCCGAAGAGGCCGGCAAGGGGGCCGCGCCCGAAGGCTGGGGCTGGGGGGGACAAACGGCCACGCTCGAGCCTCTCCCCACCTCTGCTCCAGCAGGGGCCTCGCAGCTCCGGGCTGGGATCAGCACGGGACCCCCGACCTCCCCGCCCAACTCCAGCGCATCCGGAAGGGCGCGCAGGCCGGCGGCGGGGCTTGGCCGCGGGCTCGGGCTCGGGCACGCCACCGAAGGGGTCGCCGGGGGAGGGGCCGCGCAGGGAGACCCGGAGAGGGGCGGGGCCCGGGACCGGGCGCGGGGTCGCCGACCCGGCTTCGGAAACTCGGGGTCCCCACCCGGCTTCCAGCTGGACGCCGAGCGGCTCCTCCAGCCCCGCTGGGCCCCCGAGGCCGCCGCCGCCGCCGCCGCGGGGTTGTCCCACTCCCCTCACCTGTTTCGGCTGCTCTGCCTGCTCCGAGGACGCCATCTTTTTCAGGCCTGACTAATCTACCGCCGCTGGACGAGATTCCTCCCAAGAGCCCTCGCTCTGGTTCTGCGCCTCAGACTAAAGTAGAAGCAACTGAGCCCGTCGATTAGGGCGGGCTGGGGCAAAGGGTAGATCGGCGTCGGGGTCACCTCCAATAACTCCCATAGGTCTCTGCCTTACGAGGAAATCCAAAGGAGTCTGTTCATTGGAAGGAGTCATTCTATTCATTTCTTTCATTGTCATAGGAGTATTACTAGTCTTGAATTAAATCTCCGTAGTCCCCAGAGTGCCCTGTGCACATTTATGATCTAAGTATTCAGTAAATGAATGAATGTAAAGAAACGTGGAAATAGGTTTTTAGCCACTCGTTGTAACTCTCCCGAGTGCCTCCTCTTAGGCTCTAGAAATAAAAAGATCCAAAACCCGACCCCTGCTCACCAGCCCAGGACCAGCACAGTTACAGCACTGCTCGGGATAGAACCTGGCTACTGTGGAAAGGTCTGTTGGGAGAACGCAGACGAGTGGGCCTTGGGAGAAGAGGCTTCCATGAACTATTACGGAATTTTTTTTTTCGTTTGTTTGGGTTTTTTTGAGATGGGGTCTCGCTGTGCTGTTCAGGCTGGCCTTGAACTCACTTTGTAGCCCAGGTTGGTCTCTAACTCACAACGATCCTCTTGCCTCAGCCTCCCGAGTGCTGGGATTATAGGAGTGCGTAACCACTCCCGGCTACTATTATGGAATTATAATGCCTGAATTGGTTTGGTTTTATTTGTTGTTATTGGTGGTGGGGTTTTTTTGTTTTATTTTGTTTGTCTTTTTGAGACAGGGTCTCACTAAGCAGTTCAGGCTGGTCTTGAGCTCACTTTGTAGCCCAGGCTGGTGTCGAACTGGCAACCATCCTCCTGCCTCAGCCTCCGGAGTGCTGGGATTACAGGCGTGCGCCACGACACCGGGCTCTTGAATTGTTTTGTCTTTGTTTTGTTTTGTTTTTTTGGTGCTAGAGATCAAACCCATGGCCTCGCTTGTGCTGGGCAAGCTCTTAGATTTTAAGCTAAAGATAAACGCTATGATAGGAACATTGTGACTAGTAGCGTATATCAAAACTGACCTTTGACCTAACTGGAGTAGCGCACAGATGGACTGCCTTCATTCCTCTTAATATCTCACCTCTTCACCCATAGTTGTTTTTTGTTGGCTTGTGGTACATGACTGAACCCAGGACCTCACACTGAGCTACATGCTCAGCCTTTTGTTTGTTTTGTTAAAAAGCAGGGTCTGTCTAAATTGCTAAATTGCCCAGGCTGGGCTTAAACTTTCAATCCTCCTGCATCAAACTCCCAGAGAGCTGGGATCACAGGTGTGTGCCGTCAGGCCCACCTCCGTACTCTTACAACAAAGACAGGGAGACAGACAACAGAAAACTAACTGGCTGGTCACCCTTAGAGTACTTCTCATTACCTCTTAGTGAAATAACTGAAGCACAGGGGCCTTCACAATCATTGAAAGTGGCCAGTTTGAGAAATTTGGCTGTTACCTCTGGTCATTCTAACTATAGTGACAGGTCGCGAGAACGAGGTGCCCGTGGATGTAAAAAAAAAAGTAAGAGAGACAAATTCTGGGATCAGGGTGGTTACAGGCTCTCAGACTGCAGCCCCGATACCAATCTCAGTCACGTTTTACTGAATGAGAACCAAAGGCATACATCGTACAAATGGACGGATCCCAAGGTTTTTAGTAATTAAAGCTTATCTTTCTCCAATTCTGCCTCCCACACTGCTGACAACAGTCCCCAGGTGGGCCTCCCACACCCAGCACCGCGCTCACTCGGTTCAGCTGGGGATTTCAGGTTGACCACCAGTTGTCCATCCGTCCCTGGTCAACTTGATAATCATACACATTTCTTTAATCCATGGATTCTTATCTTCAGGTGAAAGGTTTCAGTTCATTTTAATAAATCATTATGTGTCCACAATCTCTCCAGCCTTGATTTGCAGAAGTTCAAATAAACAGCTTAGTTTCAACTTAGTGATATGGAACTTTAGCATAAATGATTCCTTTTTTGAGTGTGTGTAAAGGAGATGGAATCCAGGGCCTCCCACATACTAGGCAAATGCTCTCCCAGTAAGCTACACCCCAACTCTCTTGATTTTTTTTTTTTTAATTTGGTTTTCTGAGGCAGGGTCTCGCTCTGTAGTTCAGGCTGACCTCTAACTTGTGGTGATCCTCCTGCCTCATCCTCCTAAATGTGTGGACACCTGGTTTCCATCATGATTTTTAATCAAATCTAGGGGCCTAGTGCAGAATTTAGCCCAAGGCAGTGGCCTCCTGAAATAGTTTTTTGTTTCATTTTCTTTTTTTGTTTGTTTGTTTGTTTTTCTCCTGTACGGGGAACCGAACTCACGACCTTGAACTTGCCAGGCAGGCGCTTTGCCGCTGAGCTAAATCCCCAGCCCCTTTGTTTCATTGTCTTGATAAAGGGTCTTGTACTATGTATTTCAGGCTGGCCTTGAACTCACTATGTAACCCAGGCTGGCTTTGAACTCTCAGCAATTCTCCTGCCTCAGCCTCTCACACGTGGGATTACAGGTGTGTGCCACCACACTTAGCATTGAAATTGTATTTAACAGCCTATTTTTGTTTGTTTGTTTGTTTGATCTTTTTGAGACAGGGTCTTGCTGTGCAGTTCAGGCTGGCCTTGATTTGTTTTTTTGTTTTTAACAGCCTATTAATGTATTTAAGATTTTATTCCAAGGCCCTAACTCAATTTGCACCAGTGTGGCAGTGAATAAAACGTGTCCTTCCATTCAGGGAGTCAGGTCCCGAGAACGAGGTGCCCACGGATGAGTAGAAAAAGTAAGAGACACAAGAAAAACAAGAGAGGAAAAAGTCTGGTATAGGGGGCTTACAGCCTCTCAGACTGCAGCCCCGATTACCAATCTCAGCCACCTTTTATTGAGCGAGAACCCAGGGCATAGCTAGTACAAATGGGTGGATACCAAACATTTTAGCAAAGATAATTAAAGGACTATCCTTCTCCACATGTAATCCAACGCATGTCTGTAATCCCAGCCCTCAAGAGGCTGAGACGGAAGGATCGTAAACTCAAGGCTAATCCGGGCTGTATAATGAAGCCTTATTTTAAGAAACTCTAACAAATAATAAACAAATCATTGCGTCCTCAATGCATTCTAATCAAAGAATGTCCTTCATCACAAAAATGGAAAATCTTAGGCCACTTTTTCTTCCCCTTTCTTGTGCTATTTTGTTACATCTTCAGCAATACTGGAAACGGGCACTCTTCAATTATTAAAACTCAGCCTATAGGTTGGGACAGTTTACAGATAGATCTTTGCAGGTTGGAAAGGGAAAACCAATAAACACTCTACAGTGGCAGCTTTTTATTTAAGTATTAGTAGTATACATCTACTTATGCACAGAAGGATGAGCTGAACGTTCAAGGATGTATCCTTTGAAACGCAAAATAAATCCCTACTGACTTCATTTTAAACATTCGATTAAACAGGACTGGGATGTAGCTCAGTAGTAGACCACATGCTTACCAGGCCTAGGGCCCGCATCACTACCCAAAAACAAAAACAAAAAAGCAAGCTACTGTTTGGCTGTATTCCCGCAAGCTAAGGTAGGATTTGAACAGAGACTACAGCTCCCGTCATGCCCGGGGGCCTCAGGTGAGTAATAGCCACTAGAACTACACCTCCCGACGTCCCTAGCTCTCGCGTGATTGGCTGCCACGAGAACTGCAACTCCCGGCAGGCGGCGGGCTGCGAGGGAGTAGGAGGGGCGTCCTGACCAGCTCCGCGGGTTTTGGAGTTCCTCCAGTCTCACCTGAAGAGGATGAAGGCGACAGGGGCCCTAGGAGCTGTGGGACCCGGCGAGAGCCGGTCTCTGAAGGCTTGTTTGTTGCTTGGCGGCCTCTTCCCTGGAAGAGCTGAGGAACAGGGTGAGCGCTGGACCCGCCCGGGCGGGGGCTGAGAGCCGGGGTCCGGATGCCCCGGAGCGCCGGGGCGCGGTCGGGGAAGCCGACCCGGGGGAAGGAGCCTTGGGACGGAAATGGCCCACGTGGTTAGTAACAGATTCCGGGCGCTTTAGCGCATCTCGTGTTAAACTGGCGGTCGGGGCGAGGCGGGCGGAAAGGAAGGCGCAGACGAAGCCCGACTGGACGTAGGTGACTCGCCCAAAGCAGTGTAGGTTTTGGTGATCAAGCGGAGCGCCGACCTGGGGTGTCCCCGCCACTCAGCTCGCGGAGGTGATAGTGGGGGCGGGTCGCCGCAGTGTCGCCTCCAGCCGGTGCCTGTGCCGGGGAGGAAGCTGCTGATGACGGCCCGGGCGGGGTCCGCGGGAGCACAGCGTTCTGAGCCCAGCCCGCCTCACTCCGTACGGCTTCCCCTTGCAGCTTACCCATCCCGGAGCCCCTAGCTTGCTCACCAGCGAAGTGGCTGCTTCCCGCCCTGCTACCGAAGAGCGTTCAGTCTGTCAAGTGAGGCAAGACATTCGGTTGATTTACAGACTTTTTTTTCTTTTTGAGACAGGGTCTCGCTGTGCAGTTCAGGCTGGCCAGCAACCAGTTAACAAGTTACAAGGGCTTGTTTACTCCGAGGAGCTCCGGTGTTCTCAGGCTGGTTTCATCCTGCACATGTAACTATTTTCCAGCTTCAGCGGCTCCCAACAATCGTCTAGTAAGTAGATGTGTCAGGGTGACCTAGCCCCAGCTGTCTGACAGAGGACGTGGGACCCAGGAATGCCCAAGCACTATAAAGTGCTCCGATGATGTGGCTTTTGCCACATCGGTGTTTACATATTTGTTCCTGGCATTAGGTTACTTCGATTTTAGTGACATTTGGTGCACTGGCTCCATGTACTTGGCACACAGGCTTTCTTTCTCTGCAGCTGGGCTTTAAGAGGCCCACGGTCGCTTGACTTTTTCTTCTTCTCCTTTTTTTTTCTTTTTGCGGTACTGGGAATCGAACTCACGACCTTGCACTTGCCAGGCAAGCGCATATGCCACCGAGCTATATCCCCGACTTTTTCTTCTTCTTAAGTCCAGTCCCATTAGCGTTTTAAGACATTGCCATCCTACAGTGAAATGTTCAAACCCACCCTGGAGAAAGCCTCTTGCCAAGGAGAATAAAAATAAAAATCTAATGATGCAAGCTTCTGCTTCTCTTATATTTCCTATGGGCTAGTATAACTTAGAGGAAGATAACTGCAAAGAACAAAAACCATTTTCTTTCTTCCTTTCTTCTGACATTTGACACACAGGAGAGTTTTTTTATTTCAGTGCTGGGGATGAAACCCAAGCACATAAGAGAATTTTAGATGACTGCTGAATAAATAAAGGAACGACTTCAAGTTCTGGTTGGTTATTCATTCATGTAAAGACTGGAATGCCTCCTATATGTGGATGTAGAATAACTGCAGGAAACACATTTTTAGGAACCATACTTGGTTTAAATCCCAGCTCTGTCACTTATTGTGTTATGTGTGATCTTGGACAAATTACTTAACCTTTTTGAGCCTTGAATTTGTTGTGTGTAAAATGGGAATAAAAGCAGGACCTATCTCATAGAATTAATATTGTATATGAAAAGCACTTAAAATAATACCAAGCACCTCTTTGCCTTGTGCCACCCTCCCTTGGAGTCAGCCAGTTATGGACTGAAACCTCTATAAAGTGTGAGCTAACTAAACCTTTCCTTCCTTTAAAAAAAAAAAAAAGTACCAGGTACTTAGAATTACAATTGTGATAGTTATCTACTAAGAATTCTGCTCAGGTCTAGGGGGCTGCATATCAAGAGCACCAGAGGAGATGTGATTTCCTTGTAGATCTTGTCAGTTGCCACATATTTCTCTCTTCTCAGCTTGTGACATTCTGGCCATTGACAGGTCCCTGACACCAGTCACCCTGGTCCTAGCAGAGGATGGCACCATAGTGGATGGTGATGATTCCTTCCTGTGTCTCCCTTCCAATACTAAGTTTGTGGCCTTGGCCAGTAATGACAAGTGGACATACAGGAGCTGGGGATTTAGCTCAGTGGCAAAGTGGCTGCCTGGCAAGCGTGAGGTCGTGAGTTCAATTCCCTGTACTGGAAAAAAACAAACACCCAAAAAAAAAAAGTGGACATACAATAGTTCAGGTAAGAAACTGGTCATATGTACAGCATCCACTATGGTTAATTTACTGCACAGCAAGGGCTTGCTGTTTGTCTGGCTGTTTAAACATTTGTGCAGTGAGTGTTTACCTGAAAACCTTGTATCTACCAGACATGGTGCTAAGTCCTGGGGACAAAGATGAAAGAGATGTAAGTCTGACAGCAACTAAAATGCACCACGCCAGAGAGGTCAGTGTGACCACCTGGAGTCTAGCTACCAGGGTCTGAGTCTGGCTTTGCCATTTACTAACCAGTTAGTAAGTCTGGGCAACTTACCTAATGTCTCAGTGCCTTAGTGTCATAATAGTTACAGTACCTGTCTCCTGGGATCCCTGTGAGGATGATACAGCTCATGTCAAAGCAGAGTCTGTCAGCAATGTGACTGATATTTTGGGCTAGAGAGTTCTATGGTAGAGAGGCTGCTTTGTGTGTGGTGTGACGTTTAGCAGCATCCCTGGCCTGTTCCCACTAGATGCCGGTAGTAACACCCTGACCCAACTATGACAACCAAGAATGTCTCCAAACATTATCATATTTAGATCTTACCTAACACAGTGAGGGCCAATAAATACTACCTTTTCACTATGTCCTCAGCACTGGAGATGAATAATATTGGTGCAAGGATCGAAGAGCTAAAGAACTATCTCCAGAGCCAGGCATGGGGCACACCTGTAAGCCCAGCACTCGGGAGGCTGAGGCAGGAGTATCACCATGAGTTCAAGGCCAGTCTAGACTACATAGAGAGTTCAAGTTGAACTACAACACAAGACCCTGCCTCAAAAAAAGTGTCTCCAGGAAAATCTTCGTGCTCCTAAATTGAGGAAGTCACCCACCACTAATTGAGAAAGCGATGGCTGTACAAGCCACCTTTGTATTTGAGTCCAAGGGACAAGAAGTGATGGATTGTTCCAGTTAAAAGTGGGACCAATCCCCACACACAGGAGAAGTGCTGGTGAGAATGAATGTTTTCATATACAAAAACAACGTATGCCAGATGTGGTACACACCTATGATCTCAGCACTTGGGAGGCTGGGGCAGGAGGTTCACTGTGAGTTCCAGGCCAGCCTGAACTACATGGCAAGACCTTACTCAGAAAAACAAACACCAGAACACACCCAGACACAAAAAAACTAATGGAAAGCAGTCTGGTAGGATCCTGAGCCCATCCATGACCATATGTGGGGGTTAAGTGGCTTCTCTTCATAGAACAGAATACATTAAAAGTGGAAGAAGAGGGAACATGGTGGTTCTGATAGGGCCTGGCTTTCCTGGGGTCCCTTGAGAGAAGGTGCCCCTTCCTCTTGCAGTGGTCCTGAATGGGGTCAGAAGGACACAGCTGTCCTGGAGTCTGTGCGGGGCGGAGGTGGAAACAGGACTGGAAGTCACTCTGAGCCCAGTGTTTCCTCCTGGATATCAGACGGAGGCGCAGCTTTGATTTTCCAGGAATCCTTTGAAACAGATGAAACAGACAGTGGGACGGGTGAAGTGGGAGAAGGAGGCCGGGAAGCTGAAGGGAGATCTGTCCGGCATGGTGCTGTCAAAGGAGGACCTCCAGGGAAGCCCCCCGCACGGCCTGGACCCACGCTCGCCCAGCCCCGCAGCCCCAGCGGCTGCTCAGCTCCATGCCTCAGCATGGGAATTCCATGGTTTTCTTTTGCAGCACTGGGGATTGAACCTGAGCCTATGCACTGACCTATGTCCCCGGCTCTTTTTTTCTCATTTTGAGACAGGGACTAAATGTCCCCAGTTTATGATCTTTTTAAGTGTATACCACCACACTGCTTTTTTCTTTCTTTCTTTTTTTTTTTTTTTGAGACAGGCTCTCGCCATGCCGTGTAGGCTGGCCTTCCACTCACTTTGTAGCCCAGGCTGGCCTTGAACTCACAGCAGTCCTCCTGCCTCAGCCTCCTGAGTGCTGGGATTACAGGCAGCAGGTATAACCATGCCAGGCTCTCCTTTCCTTTCTTAATTCCTAATCTGCCAGCACCAACCTGCCCCCTGCCCCTGCCCCATGCATTGCTGGGTATGAAACCCAGGGCCTTGTACATGCCAGACGAATACTCAACAATTTGTGTTTGTTTGGGTGATGATACTGGAGATAGTGCCCAGAGCCTTGCCACTGAGCTACATCCCCAGCCTCTCTTTTTTTCTTTTTTTTAATTTTATATTTTGAGACTGTGTGGCCAGGTCTTGCTAATTTGCCCAGGCTAGACTCAAACTTGCAGTCACCGTGCTTCAGCCTCCCAGGATGCTGGGATTATAGGCTGCACCACCAGGCCCAGCTTTGTTTTTAAATACTTCTGGCAGCTGGGGATTTTGCTCAGTGGCACAGCACTTGCCTGGCAAGCACGAGGTCGTGAGTTCGATGCCTGGTACCAGGGGGGGAAAAAAAAAAAATACTTCTTCCATTACAACTCAGTCTTCATTTTATTCTCTTTCAGCCCTCACTGTGCATCAGAATTACCCGTGGCTTTTTTCCTTAAATACAGATGTCCAGGCCCCAGTGAGTTCTAGGGCGAGGGGACTTAACTGCTAGCAAGTGTGGATTTGGAGTGATTGGTTCAAATCCCAGTTCTGTTGTTGGGAGTTTGAAGCAGTATCTTAGCTTCTCTGCTTACATTTATTTCCTGTCTGGCAAAATTAGGATAAAAATGTTACGTTTTCATTCAAAAGGCATTGACTCAACCCCTGCCCTGTGCGAGTGGACGAGCCAGCCACTAGTGTGCTGATGAAGAAGGGAGGCAGACAGCAGGTAAGGGCCCAGGGACCCAGGTGCACACCTGTCATTACGGCACATAGGAGGCTGAGGCAGGAGGATTGCTGCAAGTTCGAGGACAGCCTGAATTATATTGCAAGACCCTGCCTGAGTAACATGAATATTTTCACATGGCTCATAATCCAAGAGGTACAGAAAAACACGGTAGCCAAAAAAGTGAACCCCAATATCTATAAACAATGACCACGTCAGGAAAATGTGGTAAACAGGAACTCTTAACTGTCCTTCGGCTCTACAAAAGAATGGACGTTTGTGAGCCTGGAAAACACTGAAGGAAGTCAGAAACAAAGGCCACATAAGTGATTGCATTAATGGCCAACATAACCAAACCCACAGAGAAAATAAAAGCTAGGTGTGGAGGCACACACCTGTAATCCCAGCTACGCAGGAGGCTGAGGCAGGAGGATTGCTGCTTCAAGGCCAGCCTGGGTAACTTAGCAATAACTTCCCTAAAAATAAAGGCTGGAGGGGCTGGGGATGTAGCTGAGTAATAGAGCACTTGCCTAGTGTGTGCAGGCCCCTGGGTTCAGTTCCCAGTAGGGGGAGGACGAGAATAGATGAGTGACTGTGTGGGCTGGGTCACTGAGAAGCATGGAGGAGCTGCTCATGGGTCTTTCTCAGGGGCGGCAATGAAGGTGCTTGTTTTGTTGTACTAGTGATTGAACCCAGGCCCCGCACGTGCCAAACACGTGCTCTTTTACTTGAACTACACCCTCCCAGTTACAAGATCAGTTGTGGGGATGGTTATACAACCCTGTGAATATATGAAATCCATTGCGTTATATATTAAAACCCATTGCATGGATGAAAGAAGCTATTGGAGAGACATCTCAACAGAGCTGTTGAACAGAAAGGATGCAGAGGAAAGTTGGAGTCCTGCCCCAGCACCCAGGGTTCCAGGTTTCCCTCGGAGCCAGCTGATGAGTTAGTGTCCCGAGCTGATGTTTTCCAGACAAACAAACATGCAAAGTCTTGTCCTCCTTTTTGTGTTTCTTTTGTTCTGTTTTGTTTTGTTTGAGACGGGGTCTCACTATGTAGTGCAGAATGGCCTTGAACCTTGAACTGTTTATCTAGCCCAGGTTGGCCTCAACTCAGAGGGATCCTCTTGCCTCAGCCTCCTGAGTGCTAGGATTACAGGCTGAACCTCCACGTCCAGCTCTCTTCCTGTTTTATTTGCATGGAGTCTATTTGCCCTGCTTTTAAATGAATACCTGGAAGCCTTCCCAGGGCACCCTCCTTCCTTTTCCCAGTGCCCGAAAGCACCGCATTTACCCTGCACGCCAGGGGTTTGGGTTCTCCTCTCAGACCAGGCAGCGCTGCCAATGCTCATCCCAAGGGCTTTGGGCACAAAGGCCTTGCCAGGATAGCGTGGTCAGATACCGGTGGTTGTCACAGCCAGGGTGCTGCCAGGTGTGCTCCAGAGGGAAGGGCAGGACTCCACAGGGAGCTGAGGCTGGCCACCCACGAGGAAGGAAAGCCGGCCAGAGCGCTGAGAGCCTTGGGAATCGGAAGGGGAGGGGCCACAGGGCTCATCTGCACAGCCTGGAGGGATGAGAACAAGACTGCTTCTTGGGAGGGGTGCTACCCTCTCACCTCACTTTCCTCACCTGTGAAATGGGGTCATACTGGTACCTTCCTCGTGAGATTCGTACCTCTTAAATTTTGTACCTAGAGAATAGACTCACAGTAATTCAAAACTTAATGCAACGTAAAATTTAAAAATAAAGTTTTCTCCTGGAGAGGCTGTTCCTAATCTCATACTCAAAAAATGCAAGCTTTTGCAAGGCACCACGGTACAGGCCTGTAACCCCAGGTACTCAGGAGGCTGAGGCAAGAGGCTTGGCAAGTTCCAGCCCAGCCTGGGCTACTTAGCAGCATAGTTAAGACCTTGTCTCAAAATAAAAAATTTTTCTCTCTTTTTTTTTTTTTTTTTTTTTTTTTGTCTTTTTGAGACAGGGTCTCACTATCCAGTTCAGGCTGGTCTTGAGCTCACTTTGTAGTTCAGGCTGGTCTCAGACTTGCAAGGATCCTCCTGCCCCAGCCTCCCGAGTACTGGGATTACAGGTATGCGGCACCACGCCCAGCCAAAGAAAAATTTTAAAAAGCCGGAAATATAGCTAAAAATGAAAGCCCTGGGTTCAGTCCACAGTACCACCAAATAAATAAATAGCTATTCGAGTTTGGATTTGTTCCGAGTGAGGCACGAAGGAACCGTTTTTATCATTTCCCCATGTCCACACTAGAAGACTGAAAAGTCCCGCATCTCTCTCCTGAGCCTCTGCCAGCCCCCTGGGTGCCTGGGGAAAGCTAAAGCCCATGGTGTGGTGGGAGTGTCCCGAAGTGCTCCGGTCCTCAGCGCCCGCGTGTGTGCTTTAGGTGCTAGTCAGTGTGCCACGTGAGGACCTGGCTCAGGAGCTCGGCTGGAGCTGCGCCGCCATCCGGGGGTTCCAGAACACGTGAGAGTGCGTGCTTCAACTGGAAGAGGGGAACGAGTTTTAGCACGGAGCTCCGGAGAAAGGACAGCGGCATCCTGTCAAGGCAGGAAGGTAGGGCACCCATTGAGGGTTCCTCAGAGGTGGAGGCACCGCTGCCGCCCTTGGGAGAGGCCGCTGTCTGCAGGGCGGCCCGCCTCCTTGGGGTGCCTTTCCCTCGCCCCCAGCGCAGGCTCCGTCCACCTGCTGGGCCGTCTGATTACGGGGCTCGCTGACCTCTCTCACATCCGCTCTGCAGAGTCCAAAGCTACCTTCGGGGAAGAGGTAGACGCGGAGGACAGCACCATCGGAGAGCACGCCTTCCAAATCTCACAAGCCAGATCTGCTCTGCACTGCAGGAGAAACCGGCTCCCGAGCTGAGCTTGTCTAGTCGGGATTTGGAGGTGGGCAAGGACACGCGATGCAAGCTGCGGAGTGATCTCCCCTGGAGGTGTAGTGGGCCTGCCCAGGCCTGGATGGGATTTCTTTTCACCTCTACAGAACTGGGCTTCCAGCTGCTAGTTTGTCTGCTCCCTGCCAGAGCAATCACAAACGCCCCGCTTACTCTAAACCAAAGTGACTTATGTTTTTTATGCTGCTTGTGCCAATGCATTTTTTTAAAACTTTATTTTTTGTGGTGATGGTGATGCTGTGACTGAACATAATAAATTTTGTTTGGTTTTTCTCTTGGTAACCTATCTACTGTCATTCATTTCTCAGACTAAGATTATGACATTTTCAGAAAGAAGAGAAACTTTGTGCTACACCTGGTGCCTGTTGGTGTTACAGAGATAAGCAGAACTGACGCTGTCCTGGCACGTAACAGTGCGGTGGGAAAAGCCGGTACAAAAACACCACACAAACATAGTTACAAGACAAGGTAAATACTAAGAAGGAAAATTACTAGGAATGGAACTCAAGAAATATTCTGACCGGGCGAGGTGGTGGTGCACACCTGTAATCCCAGCACTCGAGAGGCTGAGGCAGGAGGATCGTTGTGAGTTCAAGACCAGCCTGGGATACAAAGTGAGCTCAAGGCCAGCTTGAACTGCATAGCGAGACCCACTCTCAAAAAGATTTAAAAAAAAAAAAAAAGGTAAAAAAGAAATATTCTGGAGGTACATTTACCGGACTGTAGTCACAGGCCAGGGGGAGATACAAGGGGGAGGACTGTCAGGTTCCTTGTTGAAGAGCAGGCTGGAGAGGTAATGAGGTTCGGTTCAGATGTATGGGGCTTGTGTTTTGGAATTTCTTTTGTAGTCCGCGACCCCACCCACCAAGTCAAACTGAATTGCTCCAAGCAGAAAAAGTGTGGCAAGTCTGCTGAGGCAGGAGGACTGCTCAGAGGCCAAGCCTGAACTACAGACCAAACAAACTGTGGCACATGAGGCAAACCTGCTTCAGCCAGCCCAAGTAAAGCTGGGCTGCACAAAGAGGTGGGCACGTGGTGGGTAGCAGAAGGGGAGGGGAGGGGAAAGGATGTATGTAGCTGTTGCCAGGGAGACTTCCCGAGGTGGGGACCCAATTGCAATCAGGGTGATGCCCCACGTGGGGGGTGGTGCTCAGTGCCTGGAAACCCAAGCAGCCCCGGCACGCCCGCCTGCGAGAGACCCACCAATCAGGCTGTCTGTCCCTGGTGGCGGTGCCATGTGATCGGCCTCCCCTCGTCTTGACAGTGTCACTTAGTGATAGGGCATAGACTTAGCATGCATGAGGCCCAGGGGTTCAATCCTCAGCACTTCCCCCCAAAAATAAGTAAATACTGTACATGAAAGTGTGAGAGTCGGTGGTCTCTCGGTGGTCCCCGGGAGAAAACAGCGAGAGGATTTAGGAAATAAAGACAAGAGACAACAGCCGGGGTCAGGTGGAGTTGCCTCTTGCCTAATGAGCAAGAGGACTGATTCCAACAGACACATGACCAACCACCAAATCCAGGGGCTCCCGACATCTCTCCCTTCTCTGTTCAGTTGCAGAAGTGATGGGTGTTCAGGGGAAGCTGGAAAGGCTGTGCTGGAAGAACATAGTCCAAAGTCCGGAACAGTGGTCAGTTTTCAGTCTAGCTGGCAACTGTCAGAAGTTGGTGACTTGAACCTTTTACAGCTAACCTGTTACTGCGGCATTGCTGCTTTACATCTGGTGGTTACACTTTTCTGCTGGATGTTTAAGACCAAGTTAAGGTGAGATCTGTGTAAATGACAACTTAGCCTTTTGTTACCTATCAAGGTCAGTTAAGTCTCCTCTGGAATTGCCACGGGACCAAGTACAGCATCTCTTGATCTTCTGTCAGTGTCAGCCATCCAGATGAGTCGTGGCCATTGTTTGACCAAGGTGCTTTCTGTGGAAGCTTGAGAGTTTTTTTTTTTTCTCTCCTGGTGACTCTCCTTAGGCACACTCTATATCGTAGAATCACTTTCCTCTGTGGAAAGCCTAATTTACCTAATTTTTGGTCTCCAAACCTCAGTTGTTAAACATCCAGCAGAGAAGATTAATGTTATTAACATTGTCAGCGAGGCAGTAAGCTGAGTATTACAATCTGATCTGAATAGCAAACACCTTAGAACATACAAATGAGCCATTATGTTTTAACAACCATGGATATCCTAATACTCAAATCCTAATAGAATGTTAACAAACCACAGTTACATATTTTTACCCAAAAATTTAGAAATCAAAACCATACATAATATAGCTACATGACAATCATGGTAACATTTTGTAACATACTTAAATTTTCATTTTGACATAACGTGACTTTTTTAACCAATTGTATCTAATACATAAGGAGCTTTTATCTAATGAGTTGTCCTTTGATAGGATATACATCACAAGTTTCTGTTAAAGGCAGAGGTCTGAATCTGAAGGAAAGTCTTAGCACAATATACAATCTTTGTTTTACATTTTGTTTTTTTGTTTTTTGGGTTTTTGTCCCCCCCCCACCCGTACCAGAAATCGAACTCACGGCCTCACCAGGTAGGTACTGTGCTGCTGAGCTAAATCCCCAGCCCCTGTTTTACATTTTGGAAGACCTGTAGATCCATAATCATGCGTACATTTAATACTCCATGAGATTCACAACAATGAATTACCGTACACATGTGAAAACCTTTGTTACAATCCTTTGTGGTTTTAAAACCCCTTCTATCCACAATCCAGAAAAGACAGGAACTATGAAAACAGCAAACATTTTTATATATATTTATAAACATCTGTGGTTTTTGAAACTTTTGTTTTTAACTACTAGCAATTTAACATACTTTTCTCCTTTTTGTCTTCTCTTAAGCCTGTTTTTTGTAACTGTATTGTTTAAAGTCAGACCTCCATGCCCCACTCTTAACACCTGGTAATTGTCAACATAAGACTTCAGTGCTAACTTTTGACATCCCAATCACTCCCTCACCCTGCTGTGCGCACACGCACAAATTCTGGGGAGTGTCCCGCACCAACCACTCTCCTCACTGGGGCCCCTCGCTGGGCGCCAGTTGTGGGAGTCAGTGGTCTGTCCCTGGTCCCCGGGAGAAAAGGGCGAGAGGATTTAGGAAATAAAGACAAGAGACAACAGCAGGGGTCAGGTGGAGTTGCTTCTTGCCTGATGAGCAAGAGGACTGGCTCCAGATGTAGGGGCATTTATTTTATACACTTATACCTAAGTGGTATCATGAGAGAATGTTGCCCAGCAACCAAGACTCAGACTAAAACTAAGACTGTAATTGTCCAAGCAGGATACTTTTTTCGATACTGAAGTAGCTTGACTACCTGAGGCACTCTGGATCTGTCCCACCTTCAGACACATGACCAACAACCAACTCCAGCAGCTCCCAACATGAAAGCAGTGGTTAAGGTCAATGAAAAGAAATAGTAGCTGGGCAAGTGGCTCGTGCCTGTAATCCCAGCACTCAGGAGACTGAGGCAGGAAGACTGTCACAAGTTTGAGGCCAGCCTGGGCTATATAGTTAGTTCAGGGGCAGCCTAAACTATACAGCAAGACCCTGTTTAAAATAAAAAAAAGAAAAATTGTTATATTTGGAATATTCGTATCCTTGTTCTACAGCCAGAACTATAGAATTTGAAACACAAATTGTATAATGAAGGTGACTAATGGAGGCTGGATGTGGTGGTGCCTATCTGTAAATCCGGCACTCAGGAAGCTGAGGCAGGAGGATTGCTGCAAGTTCAAGGCCAGCCTGGGCTACAAAGTGAGCTCAAGGCCAAGCTGAACTGCATAACAAAACTATGTCTCAAAAAGACACACACACACGTGCACACACACACACACAAAAGGTGACTAATGGCATGTTGATGCTAGCTGCAAAGTTGTTCCTCAAGTTAATGAATATTTTTGTTTGCTTCGATGCACATATTAAGTTTGCAGACCACAGGGACTTACAGAGAGTCTAATTCACCATTTCTAATATCCAACTCAGTATTGGGAAATTATATCTGTTACCACTGTGAAACTGCAGCTTTCTAATATGTTCTATCAGCAGGGGGTAGAAGAGGTCATTACAGTGATTTCTATGTGATCTGCAAATGTCACTGGGTGCAGTGCAGAGAACTTCCAGTTTATACACCTCCTGCTCCTGTGCAGACTTGTTCTGCAGGTTTTGTAATCTGCCATCCACCATCCTTGTGGGAAAAGGGTGACTGTTACTGTTGACTTATTTGACTTTTTTTATGTGTTTAGAGCACAATAAAACATAGTAGAGATACACTGACCAGTTCTGCACATCTCTTTTTTGAGACAGGGCCTCAATATATAGTTCAGGCTGGCCACGAAGTCCAGGCAGTCCTCCTGCCTCAGCCTCCTGAGTGCTGGGGTTACAGATATGTTCCACACACGCAGCTTACACATGCTAAGCAGATGCTTTACCACTGAGCTGCTCCCTAACTGCAAACCGGCCAGTTCTTACACCATGAAATGTAAAGGTCCTGCAGGGGACGGTGGGGTGCAGAAGACAAACAGAACAGAAAGAATTGTTTCCCTGTGATCTCCCTGGAGGGCTCAGATCTATTTGGCACCTTGTCACTAACCTTACACCGGATGGATCTTGGATCGCATTGGCCACTGCGTCTGCCTTTCTGCAGCATATTTTATAATGCCTGCCTCCTTTTTTTTTCTTTTTTTGTTTTTTTTTTCCAGTACAAGGAATCGAACTCACGACCTTGCACTTGCCAGGCAGGCACTGTACCGCTGAGCTAAATCCCCAGCCCCATGCCTGCCTTCTTAACTAGCCTTCATAAAAGCCAGAGCTTGTATTTGAAAAGCACTGATTCAGCATCAAGCATAGCACTTCAGAAAATGGGAAAGGTGGATCGTCTCCAGGAAAGTGGCTTTGCGTGTGAGGCTCTGGCTGGCGCCGAGGTGCTCCGAGGCCATCAGATGCTGTGCAAACAGCGGTGACCTGGAACTTGACCGGTGCTGGTAGGCTGTGTTGTCACTGTCATCAGATACCACAGCAGCTCTGCCGCTGGTAAGGACTTCCCACCACCGCGAGGTTCTGAACAAAATTGTCATTCTATTCAGGTTGTCAGGTCCCGAGAACAAGGTGCCCGGGGATGAATAAGAAAAGTAAAGACAGACAAAAATTTGGGGATCAGGGGGCTTACCGCCTCTTGGACTGCAGCCTCGAGTAACAATTTCAGTCACCTTTTACTGAGTGAGAATCAAGGGCATAGCTAGTACAAATGGGCGGATACCAAACGTTCTAGCAAGGATAATTAAAGGATTACCCTTCCCCACATGTGATCCAAGACACATCTGCAATCCCAGCACTCGGGAGGCTGAGACAGGAGGATCCTAAACTCAAGGTTAATCCAGACTGTATAATGAAGTCTTGTTTTAAGAAACTCTAACAAAGAAATCATAGTCCACAATGCATTCTAATCAAAGAATGTCCTCCACAAAAATAGCACATCTCCCTTGAGTTACAGCAAGCTACACACACCCAGAACACCCAGGGTACATTAAAACTGAAGAGAAAGCTGGTCGTGATGGCACACACCTGTAATCCCGGCACTGAGGAGGCTGAGGCAGGAGGATCACCCCAAATTAGAGGCCAACCTTAGCTACACAGCAAAACCCTTTCTCAAAAAAAATACATAAATTTTTAAAATAAAGCAAAAGAAAGCCTTCCTTTGTGTTTCTGTATAAAGTAGGATTAGGCTCCAGGCTAAGGTCATTTTGAACAGGTCTGCATCTGTGTGAAGGCCCAGCAGGACCACCAGAAGTCACGCAGGATGCTGCGCCCTGTGTTTCAGGCCTGTACTGAGTCCAGCTGCTGAGGCAGCTGCGGCAGGAAGATGATGAGCCCAGGAAAGTGCCGCCCACCAAGGACTTTTCTAGCGATTTATAACCTCCTGAGTGCCAGCATGCAGCACACTGGAGCCTCAGAACCAGACTTGTAGCTGGGCTCATCTTGCCTTTGCTCACAGCAAAGTGGGGCTCTGCGGGGTCCCAAGACTTCCTCATGTCACAAAGCCTACATAGTGAGTTCAAGGCCAGCCTCAACTACACAGTGAGACCCTGTTTCAAAAACAAAAACATGGGGATCGTGAGTTCAAGGTCAGCCTGGGCTACATAGGAAGACCTTCTCGAAAAGGAAAGAAAGGCTGGGGTGTAGCTCAGTGGTAGAGCACTTGCTAGTACGCAGAGGTCCTAGGTTCGTATCTCCGGCACTATAAATGTTAAAAAGAGGTAAAGGAGCCGCTGCATAAAGAACAGCACAGCACTGTACCTACACCCCGCGTGGGGAGAGCAGTCACTGTCCTTCCCTGGTCCGGCAGGGCAGCGGGTCAGTGAGCCTGTGGGCCGCAGGGCAAGGACCTTGTCTGCACACTGCAGCCCTGAGGTGTGGAATGAGGAGCCCTGCCAGTGGTCACCTCCCTGCCGCACTGCCTGCGGCCTTCCAGGACAGCTACGCCGCAGGCCATTAGTGACCCTGGAGTTAGGACTGGCCTGACACACCAACAACTTGGATTCTGACCCGAATGCCAGCCGCTTGTGCCTCCATGTGGTCTCAGATACAAAATTAACCCTTCAAGCATTCTGAAAGGAACATGACAACATCCTCTCCTGTGTGGTTAGTTGAAAAATCCTGGGCCCCTGAGATCTGCCTGTGTACAAAAGAGAGGCGTTGAAGTCTGTGTAGAGGAGCCTGAGTCTTCCACTGACAACTCGAGTTACACCCAGGCCTCGGGGTCGCACTGAGCTCCTAAGTCAGGGGCCCACTGTGTGTCTAAAAATAGACAAGAGCGGCAGAGCAGTGCCTGACGTCATGTCATCCTGATCCTGGTAGGAGAAAGGAATGTCAGAGCAAGCAGCCGGGACTAACGAGCTCCCCATTAGCAGCGTTCTTTCACCCAGTCAGGTGTCGGTCCCCATTAGGCATGGGCCTGACAGGCGCGGTGCTAATCACCACTTCCCAGCCCTTGGATCCTGGGTAAAAGCAGGAGGAAAAAACTAACGGATTTTTCATTTTCCACAGAGAAAGGAGTAAAATAATAGTATGGTTTTTTTAAAAAAAAATGCTTTAATTACAAGCATTATTAATGTGCCTTTACTCATCAGATTCTCTGGCTGCTTAATTTCCTAATTAATTATTCAATTTTTTTCCCTCTGGCTTGTATCCATTTTATTTTGGCTGGATTCATGCTACCTGAGGGTTGGTATTGTTTATTTGGTGGGTTTTTGAGACAGTGTCTTACTATGCAGCCCAGGCTGGCCTGGGACTCCCTGTGATCCTCCTGCCTCAGCCTCCGAAGCCCTGGGAATCACAGGGGTGCGCCACCAGCCCTGCCAAGGTTTTTTAGAACTTTGGAAGTGCTGCTGTCTGAATACCTGCGCACTGCCTGGGTTCCCTGCACAGCTTGCTAGAGAGTCCTTGCCCTGTGTGGAAAACTGAAGTGGTCGAGCGTGGTGGCGCATGCCTGTAACCCGAATGCTTGGGAGGCTGAAGTGGGAAGATGGCCGTGAGTTCAAGGCCACTCTGAACTACATCGTGAGACCCTGCTCGGAAAAAAATGGAAACCTGCAGTGAAGGCAGGGGCTCCCCATACTGAGGTCATCCTGCACGTTCAGACCAAGGAGCCTTATAGTGTGTGGTTTGCTCCAATGAGATCAGACACTGTGGGAAGTAGACTGTGTTCCTGTCCAGGGTGAACGGGTCCCGAGAACGAGGTACCCACAGATGAATAGAAAAGTAAGAGAAAAAAGAAAAACAAGAGAGGGAAAATTCTGGGATCAGGGGGTTAGCAGCCTCTAGGACTGAAGCTCCGATTACTCATTTCAGTAACACTTTATTCAGAAAGAACAAAAGAAGCAGCAGTGCAAATAGGAGGATCGCAACTGATTTCGCAAGGACAGTAAATAAGACTTGACACGTTAGCCAACACGTTATCTTCCTTCGGGCATATCTTGGCAAAGCATCTAGTGCTGTCCCGGGGCTTTCAATGCTTTTGCTAGACTTCCTCCAGAACCCGACAATCGCGGCTTGGTCAGGCCTGAGGCAATACCTTGAAAGAGTAACTAAAGAATGTCCTTCTCCACAAGACACCCCTGGCACAATTCCAGCAGGTTAATGCACACACATGGGCTCTCCTTTGGGGATTCTCTCTCTCTTTTTTTTCCCCAGTACTGGGAATCGAACTCCCGACCTTGTGCTTGTCAGGTAGGCCCTGTACCGCTGAGCTAAATCCCCAGCCCCTCCTTTGGGCTTTCTCAAACTGTGCTGCAGGAACTGTCACCAAAAATGTCAAAGGTTTCATCAGCTCGTGATTATTTTAATAAGACAACCCCCTCCCCCCCGCCCAGTGCTGGGAATAGAGCACAGGGCCTTTGTACTAAGCTACATCCCCAGCCCTTTTAGTTTGGGGAGACGGGGTTGTTGTTTTTTTAGTTTTTTGGTTTTTGAGATAGGGTCTCACCATGTAGTTTAGGCTGTCCTTGAGCTCACTATGTAACCCAGGATGGCCTCTAACGCAATCCTCCTGCCTCAGCCTCGAGATTGCTGGGGCTACAGGCTTGTGCCACCACGCCCAGCTATTTTTATTTTGGAAACAGGATCTCAAGAAGTTTCTACAATGCCCAGGCTAGGTTTACGAACCTCCTGCCTCAGACTGCCACAGTGCTGGGTGACAAGCTGTGCCACCACACCCGGCCACACGACTGCTTTTATCATCTGGATGAGGGGCTGGGAACAGCGAGTGGCTCGGCTACCCTTGGCCTCTTCTTCTCCAGGCAAAGTCCGGCTAAAACAAACAAACAAACTTTAATATTTAGATCCTTTTTCTTTTTGAATTTGTTAAAAATGGAATCCGTGGCTGGAAGTGGTGCATGTCTGGAATCCTGGCACTTGAGAGACTGAGGCAGGGGTATCGCCGCAAGATGGAGGCTGGCCTGGTCTATGCAGTCAGTTCAAGACCACCCTAAGTAAAACCGACAACAAAAATTGACATTTCCTGAACTAAGGCAGTTTGCACATGATGGACCTCCTGATGTCACTGGCAGAGCCTCGTTATCCCCAGATACTACTTAATTAAAACAAAATCTGGAGGCTGGGGATTTAGCTCGGTGGCACAGCACCTGCCTGGCAAGCGCAAGGTGGTGAGTTCAATTCCCAGTACCGGAAAAAAAAAAAAAAAAAAAAAAAAAGAAAACAAAATCTGGAGTTTTAGGGACTATGGATGAAGGATCCCAATCAAACTGAAAAAAAAAAAGTGATAGGTTTTTCCAGCACAGAAAGAAATAAAAACAGAATAAAATGCCTTTACTGCAGGTACGGACAAGACCCAGTAGCAATGGATGGGGGGTAATGGTGCTTCTGAAGGCCCAGCTGGGAGAACAATGGTTATATAGTGCCAGCCTGGAGGAGGGGTTTAGGGAGGGAAATGGCCTGAAGAGCCAGACTGGGATTGGGTGGGAGCGTGGGAAAACGAAACAGGATACTACAAGGGGAGTAGGAAGTTGTAATTTGACTCCGGGAAAGAAGGGTGGGGCTGGTATTATCAGAACCTTTGTATTAAACTACATCTCCCAGCCCTTGTTAAATTTTATTTTTTTTTTTTTTTTATTTTGAGAAATGGACTTCATGATGTAAGTCACTACATTGCATTGGCTGGGCTCAAATTTGGGATCCTTTTGCCTCAGCCTCCCAGAGTGCTCAGGTATGCAGCCGCCATGCCTGTCTTCATCTCACCATCATCCACAGGAAACAACTAGGGGAGGAGGAAGCTAGTAGGATAATTATACACAGAATGTATACGCATTTGTCACTAACCAAGTCCCCATGTGAGGGACTTGTCTTAGAAGTTGACTCAAGCCAGGCGTGGTAGAGCACACTGGTAGTCCCAGGAGAGGCTGAGGCAGGAGGATCACCACAAGTTGAAGCCAGCCTAAACACAGGGCAAGCACAGTATGAACTACAAAAGCACAACTCTGTCTCAAAACAAAAACAAACTTGGTGCAAGCAGGCTATAGGCGGGCTGGCAGTGTTGTTGGGGTCTCTGGTTTGAAATCAACATTTTGTCTTTTTTTTTTTTTTTGTACTGGGAATTGAACTCAGGACTTTGCACTTGCCAGGCAGGCGCTCGTGCCGCTGAGCTATATCCCTTGCCCTGAAATCAACTTTTAAAAGTGGACATCAAAGCAAAACTAAAGCTATAATCTGCAAAAAGAATTGGAACAAATTAATATTGTTAGTAATTATAACTGGAACATAATAGCAAGTTTGAGTATAACTTTTATAAGCATGTCAGCATGATGTCTCCTTCATAGCATAACAATTGTTTTAAAATTAATTTTAGTTTAAACATTAGGAGTAATTAAGTTGCTCTTGGAGCACAATGTAAAAAAGTGTGCTTGTAAAGTTTTCAGTGCTGGGATTCAAACCCGGGGCTTCGTTCGTGCTGGGTAAACGCCCTGCCACTTGTCAGGGTCGGACACTTCCTGGCAAAGAACACTGAAGAGGCTCTTGTGTGTGTGTGGTCCTGGGGATGAGCCCGGGGCCTTTGTACTGAGCTGCATCCCCATCACTTTTCTTTTCTTTTTTCTTCAAGGCAGGACCTTATGCAGTTCAGGCTGGCTCACTTTGTAGCCCAGGCTGGTCTCAAACCTGCAACGATCCTCCTGCCTCAGCCTCCCTAGTGCTGGGATTACAGGCGTGTGCCACCACACCCAGCCTTTTTTTTTTTTTGCCATCACTTTTCACATTCTCCCCCCACCCCCATACTAGGAATCAAACTCACGACCTCGCACTTGCCAGGCAGGCGCTGTGCCGCTGAGCTAAACCCCCGGCCCACTTTTCACATTCTTAAAGACTTTTTTTGTGTGGGTTTTTATTTTGTTTTTATCCCCCGGTACCAGGAATTGAACTCATGACCTCGCACTTGCCAGGCAGGTACTGTGCAGCTGAGCTAAATCCCCGGCCTGATTTTTTTATTTTTTTGAGACAGGGTTTCACTGTAGCTCAGGCTGGTGTTGAACTTATAGCAACTCTGCCTCAGCCTCCCTAGTACTGGGATTACAGGCCTGTGCCACCATGCCCCGCCCACTTTTAAAATTTCTGATCTGGAGACAAGGTCTTGCTATGCTGCCCAAGCTGGACTTGCATTTGCGATCCTATTGTCTCAGTCTCCTGAGCGGATAAGATCCGCACCCAAGGAAGAGCCACCAAAATCTTTATTAAGGGGCTGGGGATTTAGTTCAGCAGCACAGCGCCTGCCTGGCAAGCGCGAGGTCATGAGTTCGATTCCTGGTACCGGGAAAAAACAAAACAAAAAAACACAACAAAATCTTTATTAAAAGTGTTCTATCTTTACGTTCCCAATTACTCAGCTCTATTTTTTTTTTTTTTTTTTTTGGTGCTGGGAATTGAACTTAGGACCTTGCACTTGCCAGGAAGGCACTTGTGCCGCTGAGCTAGATCCCCAGCCCCTACTCAGCCCTAAATACTGCTGGCATTGGACATTATTGAAATTTATGTGGGTTGTTTTGTTTTGTTTTGTTTTTTTGAGACAGAGTCTCACTACGCAGTTCAGGGCCTCCAAGCCTGGCCATTATGGAAATTTAAATAAAAATACTTTGCAAGTGAGCCACAAGGAGAAGAAAGACGGTGCTGCTGAATTCACTTTATTGGGTCCACACTGCTCTCCCTGGGCAAGATCGCGGGGAGATTATTTGCAGGAGGAGAAGGTCTTCCAGAAGAAGTTTTTGCAGCGTGTTTGGTCTCGCCGAGGGGGCTGCTGCAGGGGTGCGCCTTCCTGCCCCTTGCCCGGCTCTCCGGCGGCGCCCCCTGCGAGGTCCCCAGGGCTGGAGTGGGAGGTCCAGGCGTGCCACCTCGCAAGGAAAGTCAGGAGGTTGTTTTTCTTTATTTCTGCCACCTCTTGCACATGCTTTTAAAGAGAAGCAGATGACAAAGGAAAGACAAATCAGTAGCCTGGCTCTGCTGGCATGAAAAGATAAGACAAAGAAAGAGAGAAAGAGAGAACGAGAGAGAGGAAAGAAAGAAAGAAAGAAAGAAAGAAAGAAAGAAAGAAAGAAAGAAAGAAAGAAAAAGAAAAAGAGAGAGAAAGAAAGACAGACTTCCCCAGCAATGAATGACATTTCCATTCAAAGGATGAGAAAGTTACAGGAAAGCTGTAAAGAAATTGCTCCAATTAGAGAAAAGAAACATTTGATCATTTCAGAAAAGCCCCGGCTGCTTCTGCCCCGGGTCTTTCCCGACGTGCTTATTACAAGGGGTCAGGCCGCCGTGCGGCTCCTGCCTGGCATGGGAAGCCGGGAGCTGGGTGCACCCTGCGCGCTCCCGTCCGGACACGCGCCTGGGCCCCGAGGCGCGCGCTGACACAGATCAGACAGACGCTAGTTGCGGTCATTCACGTTCCCGGGGCAGCTTCTGATGACAAACGGCCTGTCTGAAACTTTTCTGGTAATTTCAGAGAAAAATCCACCTTTAATGGTCAACTTGATGTACTTTTTCTTGGAACTTTTTCAAAACGGAAAAGAAAGAAGACACATAAATCACCTCCCGAAGTTACAAATTCTCACCACGGAAAATGTAATGTCAGTTCATCCGAGCCAGCCAGAACGCGGCTGGGAAGATAAATTAAGGTTCCCCGGAAGTCCTGGGCAGGAGCCGCTCCCGAAAGCACAGCCCGGAGCAAGCACTTAGCACAGACAGGCACCGGGGCACTGCAGTGTCCGCTAACAAACTACAGGTTGAGACAGGGAAGGGAGCCGAGCACCGGGCTGCAAGCATGACCTGTGTCAGCACCTCGCTGGGTCTGGCCATGATCCGCAGCACATGGTGTGCGCAGGCGCGCACACACACCTGGCTGTGCAGACGCTGGGAATCCACAAGATGCCCACATGCCAAGGACAGACGCAAGCGGAGAGCAGGCTAGCAGGTGGCTGGGAGGGGACCGTACTCACCACGCTGTCCAGGCTGGCGGGGTCGCCTTCCAGGGCGGGGGCGGGGGCTGCGGCCCCCCAGAGCAGCAGCAGCAGCAGCAGCAGCAGCAGGGTCCTGCAGGCCCAGGCCCGCGTCCCTCGGGCTCGGCTGCCACCCATCCTGGGCAGCCCTGGCGCTGGCGCTCGGAGGACGCAGGCTGTTGTTGTCCACGTGTCGGGGAGCACCTGGAGCCCTTTCCTCACGCCTCAGTGATGACGCAGGTGCCCAGGCGCCGAGCGCCCACAGAAGCATTCTGGGGCCGCACTGTGCCCCCTTATTGAAAGCCTCAGGTCGTTTCCTGCGTTTACAGCAAATCTGCTCTTATTTTGGACCATGTGCGCTTGCCTTGGAGGAAGTTCGACTTCCTTGTAATTATGCCGACAACAAGCAGGAAGCCATCAGAACAAAACCAAGTGATTTAACAGAATATAAAATTAGCCTTGGCGGAGCTGAAGACGTGAAATTTTGCCCATGTATAATTTTGCCCACATGACTGCGGGGCTGGGGTGGAGATCGTGCTTCTCATGCCTGAGGCCCTGGTTTGATCCCCAGCACCAAAAAAAAAAGTGACTGAATCTGCCAGAAGCCAGAGAGACTCGGAGCAGCGTGAGCCCGGACCGCGCAATGACAGCGCTGCTGGCTGCGCCCGGTTGTGGGCAAGGTCACCCGAGCAATCGTACCCTCAGCCTAGCAGACGCCACAGCGGGTGTAGGGAGAGCCGAGACACTATCTCTATCAGAGCCAGAGGACGCTGACCTGGAGCGGCCAGACCCTCACATAGTCCCAGGCTGGAGACCAGCACCTGTTTTTGTTTTGTTTTTTGAGATAAGGTCTTACTACCTAGTGCAGCCTGGACTCAGACTTGTGACGATCCTTCTGCCTCAGCCTCCCAAGTGCTGGGAATATGGATGTGTGCCAACACACTACTTAATGTTGTAAGAAATTCCAACGTGGCCTGATGACCTGTGGTTTTTATACTGCATGCTGCACGCTCAGGCCTGAGGCCTGATGCAGGAGGATTACCAGGAGTTCAAGGCCAGTGTGAACTACATAGTGAGACTGTCTCAAATAACAACCAAACACACTGAATGTTCCCACAAGTGACATTAAAATTCTGAGGTGTTCTTGCAGATGAGAAATTCATGGCAGCTCAGCCAGTTTCCCGTGTCCTTAGTATGTTTTGCAAGTTGTTATTACTATTATTCATTATTATTTGCAGTACCTATGATTAAGCCTGGGTTCAGCCCCATTTTATATTACTTCCACACAAGGTCTCACTAAATGGCCTTGGACTCATGATCCTCCTGCCTCAGCCTCCCACGTAGGTGGGATCATAAGCAAGCACTACTATACCCAGCAGGTTTTGCAGATTTCTTTTTTGGGGTACCGGGAATCGAACTCAGGACCTTGCGCTTGCCAGGCAGGTGCTTGTGCCACTGAGCTATATCCCCGGCCCAGGTTTTGCAGATTTTATCCGACGGACCCATTAAACATTCTGCTTGCCAGGCAGGTCCACAGAACTCGTACCATAAAGGTCCCAGGCCATTTGCCCCCGACAGAGCTCCACAGCCTAAGCGGCAGGACAAGTGAGAGAGGAGGGCACTGCAGCGGGTGAGACCGTGCCAAGAAGGGCTCAGCACTGCGGGCAGGCAGCCGGGGACGGGAACGCTTCAACAAGGTGCTTGGGGTGTGGACACTACAACCCCAGCTTGTTTTTGTTGCTGAGACAGGGTCTTGCTGTGTAGTTCAGGCTGGCCTTGAACCCACTGCGTAGCCTGGTTGCAGGTGTAGACCACCATGCCCGGCTCAGACATCTGTCTCTGATATAGCTAGCCATCTGCAGAAGCAAGTCCAAGGAGAAGTGACCCCTCGGTGTCCTTTCTGCTCTGTCACCAGAGATGGCATCTTAGAGGGTGGCAGTATCGCCTTGGATGGTCCAGAGCCAGCGACACCTACCGGGAGCGCATATGGAATAGGGGGCGTGGGGCCAGCTAGACCCTATCAAGTGTGAGCAGCCGTGAGTGAGGACCCTGAAGAGCACGCTGTCAGACACTGGCCTAACCCAGAAGCAGGTCCTGCGTAAACACACGCAGCACACCCAGAGGCCCCCGGGGGTCAAGTCAGCCTCTCATCGCTAGGAGTCCAGGGGCCCCTGCCACCCGGAGGGCCTTCAGCCCTTGCATCAGACAGGACCCCAGCAGGCCAGACACGTCAAGCACACACCCTCTGAGTTCCAGCTGCCGGAGTCTGTAAGAAGTGCTGGAGGCCCCACGCGCTGCCTTTCATTGTCATACAATCCCATCACGAGGTGCTATTTTAAATACTGACTCACTGATGAAGTAAGTTTCAGAGTCACAAGACTCCTAGAGCTGCTAGAGCAAGATGCAAACCCAGCTCCTCCAGCCTCCGCTCCCACTCCCGCCCTCAGCCACCACCACCACAGAGGAGTGAAGTGGCTACACACCACCTCTAGCTGAACGTACGAGGACGGAAGGCTTGAAGTTTGTTTTTTAGCAGTACTGAGGATTAACCCAGGGCCTTTGCACAAGCTGGGCTTGAATTTTAGATCCTCCTGCCTCAGCCTCCCAAAGTGCTGGGATTACAGGTGTGTGCCACCACACCAGGCTCATGGAAGCCCCTATGATTCATTTTCCTCTCCCTGATATGACATACAGATGTAACCATTAATGCGTGGCAGCGAGTGATTCGTTATTTGCAGAACCTGAAATCATCAAGGTTGAGGTCACTGCTTGACTCTGACCATAGCCAGGCACCTCCCCCCGTGAGTCAGACTGAGGGTGTCTACAGCTGACCACATTGGGGCGAGGATGATTTGATTCTACCCCAAATGATGCCCTCTTGCCTACTCTGGAGCCCACACCCCTGAATGTGGACGCTGCCTGCACTGATCAGGAGCCTGTGCTCTTGGGCCATGGTTAACTGTGCTGAGCCTCCGTTTCCTAATCAAGAAAATGGGGATAAAGTTGTGAAGCGCCAAGAAGGAATTATACAGATCACAGTGGCTCTGTAAATGCCAGTTCCTTTTCTGTAACCCCACTGCCTCCCCAGGAGAGGCCCTGGAGCACTCCAAAGCCTGGAGACAGGGACAGGAGAACCGGGTTTTGTGAAAATCATCGCTCACAAGGCAACGGGATGGTGCCTTGAAGGGTGCGGAGCAGTCAGCCCCAGGTTTTCCTCCCATGAGAAACACCTGTCCTGCAGAACTACAGCCTCATTACAGAGCTGCCAGAGAAAAGTCACTGGCCATGTTTCTAAAGAAAAGCACCTTTGAGGGCCAGGGACATAGCTCAGGGGCACAAGCGCCTGCCTGGCAAGCCCAAGGCCATGAGTTTGATTCCTGGTACCCAAACAAAGAAAAGAAAAGCACCTTTGAAAACGAACATCCCCAACAGCACCATGTCACCAGGTGATCATGGGGGACAGGACGTGAAAAACAGCACAGCTTTATTCACCTTGGAGAGGCCGTCACTTAGCCTGGGAAATTATCTCACACAATGAAGAAATAACTAGGATTTTGCTTGAAAATGTCTGTCACGGCCACTGGCCAACCCAGTTCAGCTACTGGCCTCCCGTGACGCAGAGGCACGCCTTTCCGGGTGCCCCGCTGAGTGCCCAGGATCCCAGATGCTGGCGCCTGGAGCTCAGGCTTAGAGAACACAGCACAAAAGCCGCCAGCCTCTCCTTCCCGAATCTCCACCCGCCCCCACGCTCCGGGCAGCGACAGCACTCCTCGGCGGCCCTCCCTGCCGGGGCTTCCTCACTGGGACCCTAGCTCTCAGCTTCCCCGCCCTCGGCCTCCGCCGGCTCCCTGCAAGTTTGGTTCCCGTCCTCCGGCTTCTTCTTCTTCTTCACCTTTCGCTCTTGGTTCAGCTGGGCGAGCTCTTCGTTCTTCTCAGTGATGTATTTCAGCTACGACAAACAACACTCAGTGAGGTCATGAACCATTTTATAAGCCTGGAAATACTAACTACCCGCTCCCCAACCGCTCCCACCTAAAGAATTTGGATGGAAAAGCCTGGGTTACAGTTCTCTGAGTTAGATGCGCCTTCAAAATATCTTCTGGACAAAGGAATCAGCTATAAAAACAACCTCCCTATCCACAAAGCCTCCAACCACTACGCTTAGTGTGATAGTTCCTTGAGTAATCACAAGACTTCAAAGATGAGAAATTTGAGCCGGGTGTGGTGGTGCAGGTCTGTCATTCGCATCTGGGAGGCTGAGGCAGGATGACTGTAAATTCAGGCCCATCCAGGGCAAGTTAGGAACCTAACAAGGCTCTGCCTCAAAACTAAAAAGGCTGGGGGTGCACTCAGTGAAGGCCGGGGCTCAGTCCCAGCACCAGGAAAAAACAAGCAGAAGGCCCGGGCGTGGTGGAGACCACATTATAGGGAGGGCCATGGGTGCCCTCACTGCTAGTGGGACACTGTTCTGTCATCACACTGCCACTAAGCTGCGATGATCACGGTGCCCCTGGGTGGCACGTGTCTGCTTCTGGCAGATGGGGGCTTGGTCAAGACGCTCTCCGAACTTGAAAAGAGGGGAAATGCGCTGCTGTGCACATCCAGCCTGCAGCTGCCCTCCCGCGCCTGGGGGCCACCGTGGACGAGCCTGGCTGCGAGTGACATCGCCCCCGCAAGCTTTGAGATACTACAAAACAGACGAGTTATGAAATCCAGAGCGCTGATTAGGAAATTTCAAATTGGCTTTTTAAGATCCATCATCATGAAAGACAGGCTGTAAATTATGGGCGGGTCTGCGTGGTTCAGCCACCTTGGGTTTTTAATGCAAGGTGCCCTAGGGAATGACTTCCCCAGGGTGATTAATTGGGAATAATGTATTCCGATGGGACCCAGGGGGGCAGGCGGCTGGGCTCTCACCAGTGAATTACTCCGCCTGGCTAAGAGCTTCACGTCTTCCGTGTTAATCGTGCTTCTTTTCGCGTGTCTGAGGAAGGACAGAAACAAGTCACCAGAATGCTGGCTATTATTTGAAGTTTTGAATCAACAGAGAAGTTCACGGTCGGAGTTCAAACTCCCGAGGATCACTAAGTAGACCGATTTCTGAGATTAAGGTCATAAAGCCTCGGTGAGACGGAGCGCGTGAGTTTAAGGCTCTTTTTAAATTAATTAATTAATTAATTGATTGTTTAAATTTTATTTTTTTCCGGTACTGGGAATCAAACTCATGACCTCGCGCTCACCAGGCAGGTGCTGTGCCGCTGAGCTCAATCCCCAGCCCCGAGTATACGGCTCTTTAGCAATGGAATACTGAGGAGGCCGAGAGAAAGCGGAGCCCACCCGTGCCCCCTGCCTGAGGGCCCAGCCGCCACAGGACTGAAGTCTGAGGAGCGGAACCCTTCCAGAGGGCCCTGCCTGGTCACAGGGAAGGGTGAGACAGAGCAGGGAGAAGGTCGGGGTACAAGGTTACCGGGGAGAAAGTCAGTCCTACAACACTGCCACCTTTGCTTACACAGAGTCCCTAGAGGAACAGAGAATTCCCATGATGCACGAGTTACTTCCAGCGCGGCCCGCGCTCCTCCTGAGCTAAGGCACAGGCCAAGGCGCGCAGACGCCCCTACCACCCACTTCCCTGCAACCCCCGACCGCTGCCACCACCATGGCCTGGGCACAGCGAAGAACAGCCTCTCACTTCTATAGGTGAACGGATGCAGCTCAAGGTCACGCTCATCAGTGAAGCAAACCAGACTCGTGGAAACATCGCATCTCTCCCTAGTGTGACAGTCGGAAGAGTAAATAAAATCCAAAATGTACAATAGATATTGTAAAGTGGGAGGAAGCTTCAAAAGGAAAGAGAAGCTGGGATGGGGAAACGGAGAAAAGAAGGAAGGGAAAAATTATATATATACACATAAGAGATAGTTAAGACAGTTATACTACTAATTTCTCTTAATTCATTGAAAAGAAAGGTTTGTGCTAATATTGTTTGGACAATTAAATGCTGATGTCTTGTACTCTGGGTAACTAAAGATAATATGCAATGTATTAACCATTGTTACCATATTACCTTGGAATTTTTTTTTTCATTAAGGAAAAAAACATTCTCTAGGGGCTGCTGCCTGGGGGTAGTGGTGCATGCCCGTAATCTCAACACTAGGGAGGCTGAGGCAGGAGGATCGTTGCGAATTTGAGACCAGCCTATGCTACAAAGTGAGCTCACGGCCGGCCTAAACTGCATAACAAGACCCTGTCTCAAAAGGATCAAAGTAAATAAATAAACTAGAGTCTGCTTTTTGCTCAGAACTTGGACCCAAATCTTCATTCCAGGCCACTTATCTTTGCAATGAAAGGTAATTTGAGATAATAAGCTCTATTCAGTAATATATTGCTCTAATTACATCCTTTCTTGCCATTATTATTATTATTATTGTTTTGAGACAGGGTCTCAATTTGTAGTCTAGGTTGGTCTTGAACTCATTAAGTAGCCCAGACTGGCCTCAAACTCACAGCAATCCACCTGCCTTAGCCTCCCAAGGGCTGGGATCACAGCTGTGTACCACCACGCCTGGTAGCCATTACTAACTTCTACCTAAAATAAGAACTCTTAAGCAGGAATAAGGAGGGACCCTTGTATCTTTAGTAACTAGCAAAGAGTTCAGCATGTGTTAGTCCTCAGAGAATAGCTGCTGAGTTAAAGATAAAGCCACAAAGACATTACAGTCCCTCGTTTGGACACCTTAATTCTTTACATCCCTCTAAATATGCAGGTATCACATATAATTTCATCAGACTGACCATACAATATCTGTTTCTCAGGAGATTATATCCATTTTGAGAGAGAATTTCTAAACTGGGTGTGGAGGGGCTGAGGATATAGCTCAGTGGTAGAGTGCTTGCCTAGAAGGCACACAGCCTTGAGTTCAAGTTCTAGTACCCCCCAAAAAAACTGGGTGTGGAGGTGCATGCCTGTATCTCAGCACTTTCAGAGGCTGAGGCAGGAGGATCACAAACTGGAGCCCAGCCTGGGCAGTTTTAGGGATTTAGCAAAACCCTGTCTCAAAAATTAAAAATAGCTGTCATGGTAGTACATACCTGTAATCCCAGCACTTGGGAGGCTGAAGCAGGAGGACTGCTTCAAGTTCAAGGCCAGTATTGGCTGCTTAGTGAGTTCAAGACCAACCTGAACTACATAATGAGACCCTGTTTATCAATCAATCAATCAATCAATCAATAAATGGAATGTAGCTTAATGCAAAAATCCTAGGTTCAATCCACAGTAACACACACACACACACACACACAGAACAAAAAAAAGCCTGTAAATAGCAAGCTACCAGTACCAGGACAGAGACAGAAGGTGACACAATGCCACAGCAACCCAACCCCAAGTCCCAGGCCATAGGCTGTCGGGGTGAAGAGTACTAAGTGCCCACGGCAGGCAGTGTGACCCGGGCTCAGTCCCACAGTCAAGCTGCTGTTTACCTACTTCTTAAAGTAAAGGCAAAGGAGTGAGTCAAAGGCACAGGGCTACCTTTCACAGGGTGACCTTACCTTTTCCCTGCAGACAGGGTCTCTCTGTGCAGTTCAGGCTGCCTTGAACTCACTATGTAGACTAGGCAGGCCTTGAACTCTTGGTGATCGTCCTGCCTCAGCCCGCCAAGAGCTGCAAGGATACGTGTGCACCACTGCAGCGGCTCAGAAACCCTTTTAAAAGGTGATGGAGGGGCTGGGCTTCTAGCTCAGCGGCAGAGCGCCTGCCTAGCAAGCGTGAGGTCATGAGTGCGATTCCCGGTACCGCGGAAAAACAAAAACAAAACCAAAAAAACAAAAAAACGAAAATAAAAGGTGATGGGGCTGGAGCTATAGCTCAGCGGGACAGTGCCTGCCTGGCAATCACAAGGCCCTGAGTTCAATTCCCAATACTAAGAAATAAAAAATAAATTAAAAAATCAAAGGTGGTGTCCTATCCTCTGGAGCTTCCGGTTGAAGTCCCACAACCCACTCCTCTAAGTATCCAGCAAAAGATGAGCCTCTTATGAAAGTATGAAAGCACACAAGATCTGCTAAATATTTCTAATTTCTTTCATTTTCTTTTCCCAGTGCTGGATCAAAGCCCGGGCTTCCAACATGCTAAACATGCATTTCTGCCACTGAGCTCTACCCTAGCCCCTATTTCATTTTGGTCCCTAGAATTTTAACAGAAGTGTTTTAGATGTTCCATTGTCTTTTTTCACAGCTAACAAGAGATGGGAAGTAAAGGTGATCCGAGTCCTGCCGGGGAGCCCAGGTGGAATTAACGCAGGGTCCCCTAACGCCCACCTCTCCCTCTGATGTGTGCGGGGCTTTCCAGGCACTGACGGATGACGCGCGAGGAGATTTAGCGCCTGCCCTCTGAGAATCGGGCAGCCTTAATTCATTCCCCACATTCACAGGAGAAACAAAGAGCCCGCAGGCTGAGGTGAAAAGTAGAGCGATCAGAAGCCGCAGGCGAGCTCGCCAGCCGCTGCAGGGACCGTCCTCCATTACCTGAGCTGCTAATTGCAGAGCTGAGCATAAATCACCCGCAAAAGCTAACGCGGCACCCACTGAGCGAGGCCCAGGCCAAGCGCAGGAAGCCGCTGGTCACTGACCCATTGCCCCCACACCTGCGAGCCACTCGGGGTGCACTCTGCAGTCAGCCCCACTCAGCCCCCTTCCACCTGCGCCCTGGCACTTGGGCTCCAGCAAAATCTACAGGGAGCGTCGAATGCTGACAAGCCAGCTCTGAGCAGACATGATCACAGCAGATGGCGCGGCCTGAGGAGCTGTGAGGACGGAGGCGCGGCGGCCACAGACCCGGGGTGGGACCCCCGCACGGCTGAAGCAGCGCTGACAGCGAGGCTGAGGGTTCTACCCACCTGGCGAACAATTCAAGGTCTCTGGCGAAATTTTCTGAAAGAGAGAAAGGAGATATGCTTCAGCCACCCTTACTTCAATCCCATTTCAGAAGGAGGGGAAGCAAAATCCTGATTTCTACAGGTGACTCCGTGACTCACACACCGAACTTTAATTTCAGTCCTGAAGATGGAACCCAGGCCTTCACATTGCGCTACTGATATCCCAGCCCTTTCTGATTCTGAGACCACATCCTGTGCTCAGCAGCCCAGGCTGGGCTTGAATTTGAGTTCCTCTGGCCTCAGCCTCCCGGAGCTCTGGGATCACAGGCATGCAGCACACCCAACCTTTCCAAAGGTCCGCAGAGGCTCCTCAGGTAGACCCGGCAGCTGCTAAGAGCCCCGAGCTCTGTTAATCACCAGGACTCCCTCACCCTTCCCGCCTCTCTGCTCCCGAGTGCAAGGCAAGCTTTCCGGTAACTGTGACTCCGCCTTGGCTTCCGGGAACCAGCCTCGAACTTTAAATTCTGGTGCAGGGCTTGTGAGGAGAGTAACTTCCTCCACAGTCCAGCAAGAGTAGCAATGCCACAGGTTCACTGAGTACACTGGGGGTGGTATGATGATGTGGCGATGCACTGAAATAAAAAATTGAGTGTAATGTCCAGCCACCGGGGCAGTTAACACACAATACAAAATAAAACACACATATTCATGTCCCAGTGTTGGTGTAATAGGAAAAACCCCAATAGTTCTCCCCATAAATATCCAAACCTTGGTGGGCATGATGGTGTATACCTATAATCCCAGCCCCGGGGAGGCTGAGACAGGAGGATAGCTACAAGTTCAAGCCCAGGCTGAGCTGCACAGTAAGACCCTGTTTCAAAAAACCAAACCAAACCAAAACAAAACCCAAGTCTTAGAGTCAAGAAAACAAGTATTAACGGAGCAGGGTGGTGCACACCTGTAATCCTAGCACTTGGGAGGCTGAGGCAGGAGGATCACCTAGAGTTCGAGGCCAGCCTGGGCTGCCTAGTGAGTTCAAGGCCAGCCTGAACTATACAGCAAGACACCGTCTCCAAAAAAAGGAAAAAAAAAAAAAGAAAAAAAAAGAGGAAAAAAAAAAAAAAGGAAAACAGGCATCTCGCGAAGAGTACAACACATGATAGCTCCGCCCCACACTCCTCCAGGCAAATGGGCCTCTGGGATTTAGAGAGGCAGCGCGCCAGCTCCTTACCGCACTGCCGGAAGGTGATCTCCGAAATCGCAGCGATGGTTTGCTTGCTGAACTGCATCTCTTTGTCTGCCGCAACTTCCTGGCACAGACAACCGACCGTGTAGTGCACCGCGGCCTTTAGTCTCTGTGGAGATCACAAGACTTCAGGGTGAGACTGCAACTGAGCCTGTGCTGGAGGCTGGGAGCCTTCGGGGGCACTGATCAAGTCACAGGAGCTCTCGGGGGTGAGCAGGCACATCACCGCCCAGCCCCGGCCTGTGCCCAGCCCTGGACGGAGGAGGACTCATGAAGCAGCGGCCTGACTTCCTCCCTCATCCTGCCCTTGGCAGGACACAGTGACACATCGGACAGTGGCTCGACACACAAGGGCCAGGCCTGCGATCCCAGTGCTGAGGCTGAGGAGGGAGGGTGGAGAGTTCCAGGCTGGCATGGACTACAATGCAGCCCTGTCACACAACAAAGCCCTCCCAGTTCCCCAGCAGCCACACTTCTTTTCCTTTCTGTACAGTGCTGGGGACCAGATCCAGAGCCTAGCGAATGACAGGCAAGCGTTCCACCAAGGAGCTGCACCCCTAGTCCTGAGTAATCCTTTATTTTGTGATACAGAGCCCAGGGCCTTTGCACCGAACTACATCCCCAGCCCTTTTATTATTTTGAGACAGGGTCAGCTGGGCATGGGGGCATGTACCTGTGATCCCAGCATTCAGGAGGCTGAGGCAGGAGGATCCCTGCGAGTTCAAGGCCAGCCTGAGCTACATAGTGAAACACTGTCTCAGAAAACCAAAAATAAATAAAAGAAAGAAAAAGGAGAGGAAAGAAAGAGAGAAAGAAAAAAACAAAACAGGGTCTCAATGAATCACCAAATTGCCCAATTTACAATCAAATTTAAATCCTGCTCAAATTTACAGTCCTCCTGCCTCAGCCTTCCAGCTTACAAGCCTGCATCACCACACCCAGCTAACTTTTTCAGATGCTGAAAAATCTCCCTCTTACTTATGCAGAGAAGTACCCAGAAAGTGGGAAGTACCTTACAAGAAGCTGAGCAAAGGCCTCCACTGAGGGTTGACAAGCTGCTGCGCCCTTTCTGTGGGTGCTGTCTCTGTACAAAACGAGGAGCAACCACAGAAACACAGGGCCAGGACCCGGGGGGCAGAGACATCACCTCCAGGATGGAGGCAGGCAGACGGCACACACGAGACGAGCAGACCCTGCTTCCTCTGCCTCAGACACCCCGGGACTTGGTAAACGGAGGACCCACAAACAATCAGCCTGGGAGCCAGACCTCCAGGGTCCTTTTGTATGATGGGGGCACAGGGCGTGAACCCTAACTTCCTCCAGGAAGTTTTTTTTCCTCTGTCCCTCCTCTACTCCCCCACCCAGCTCCCTAGGCTAGGGCAAAGCACTCCTCCTTCCCCCCTCCCTCCCTTCCTCTTTCCTTCTTTCTTTCTAGACAGGGTCTCGCTGTGTGGCTCCAGCCAGCCTTGCACTTGTAGGGACCCTCTGGCCTCAGCCTCCCCAGTGCATGATGACAAGCTCCTAGGTGCTTTCCTCCTGGCCACCTGGAGGCTAGGCCACTAATCTCTCAATCCCTCACTGCTGCCCCCTAGGGCTGAGGATGGCTGTGTGGCCTGTGTGAGGCCATGAGGAAAGATACCAGCACTTAAAAAAAAAAAATCTTTGGGACCAATGGCCACATCTGAATATGGACTATACATTTGATAATGGGATTTTATCAATATTGAACTTCCTGAGTGTGAGAATCTATTGAGAGGTTGTAAGAGAATCCCCTTGTTAGTGGGAAATTAAAATTTCCAAGTGAAACGTCAAGCTGCCCCCAATTCTCAATTATTCGAACAAAACTATCACATCTGGACTGTGCAGATCTCTGTCTGTCTGTCTGTCTCTCTGCTCGACTAAAGCCAGGGCACCTGCAGCAAGCACGCCTCTGAGCTCTAGTAAGCTCAGGTTAGGTCTGCTGGGAAGGGGACCACCGTGGAATATCGGGGGCTCTAAGCTAAAGGAGCACGACGGACAGAAGGTGCGACCCACTGAGCAAAATGCTAAGTGTCGGAGGGAGGTGACAGGCACGTGGGTGCTCCTCGCACTGTCCCTGCAAACTCTCTGCAGGTCTCAACTTCTCCGAATGAAACAGGGCGAGGCAGACAGCTGCTCAAAGCCAGCGGCTTCCTAGGGAGGAAACTCCCGGCACTCGGTGCCTGCATGTTAGGGAATCCCGTTTGAGGCCATCACCCGGGGTCCGGCCTTTCATCGCTTCACCGGACAGGGACGACCTCAGGACTCACCCACCTGTGATCCCAGTGCAGGTTAAAGGATCGAAGGAATACTCGACTCTATGCTGAGAGCTGGTTGTTCTGATTTTGCAAAGGAGAAAAGGCTGGCATGTGAGCCGGACTCAATGCAATAACGAGACAGAGGAGCCCAGGTTTCAACCACGTCTAAGCGTGGGCTCCAGGGCCGGGGGCCTGAGTCTGAAGCCGGCTGTGCAGCGCTGTCGGTGTCGCCCCCGCGTCCCTCAACAGAAAAGACAGTGACAGCATCCGAGGGCCAGCATTTCACAGCCACCGCCTCTTGCACGGCAGCGCACGAAGTGTGCTATCCGGATCCATTTTCTTAAAAGTGGTGTTTGCGATACACAACAATTACATCTGGGAAACTGCTACATAGGCATCATACCTTGATGGTTATGGAGACCCTTTCCGCCCCTCCCCTGACCCCGCTCCTCATCTCCCAACAGTCTGCCTGTTTCCTACCATATCTCCTGCATTTCACTATACTCTCATTTCAGATTTAGTCTTTAGCGGCCACATTCCACCCACCCCACTCATTCTCTTAGTGAAACCGGCGAACGAAGACTTCTACCAAAGCTAGAAAGCATTTTGCGGCCGCCCAGGTCGGCTCAGCCGCGTTGCCGGGGAAACCGCCTCCCAGAACCACCCGCGGCACCCGGGCCGGCGCATGCGCACTCGGGGCGGCTGCCACTGGGATGGGATGCTGAGACCAGCTGAGACCGTAGGGCGACGCTTCCCCGCACAGAAACTCGACGCCGTCCTTGCCCGGGCGGTACCCCGTTTATCCTTGTACCTGCTGCGAAGAGAATCGCTCCTGCTCCTCGGCCTCCTGCTCCTCCTCCATCACGGCCGGCCTCCCTTGGCAAGCGCTGGAAGACACACGTCCCAGTCGGACTTTCCCGCCGCGGCTCCCAGCGACGGGCTGCGCTAGGAGTCAAAGCGCGAAGCTCCTCCTCCCCGTCCCGCGCGCGCCCCCTGGCGGCTGGGCCGGGGGCCTCGACCCCCCCCCCCCCCCCCGCCAATTGCGGAGGTCGCTGCTGCATCCTAGCTGCTGCATCCTAGCCGCTGCGCTCTTACCAACCAGCTCTCCGCAAAAATACGTGTGTATAAGTACAAAATTGTCACAGTAAGTCGTGTTGACAAAAAGAATGAACCCAGCGTGATGGCGCATGCTTGTAGTCCCAGCTATTTGAGAAGGCGAGGCAGGAGGATCGCCGTGAGTTCGAGGCCAGCCTGGGCTACATAGCAAGACCCTGTCTCAAAATAAAATAAATAAATACATTTTTAAAAATTGAAAAGGTTGGAGATGTAGCTCAGCGGTAGAGTCCTTGCCTAGTATGCAAGAGGCCCGGATTCAGTCCCCAGTAGTGCAAAAAGTAAATTTAAACATTTCCCAAGTTATGTAATACAGTGCTCTGTGATGATTCCGCATGTGGCTTGGGCGTGCCTGGCAAAACCCACCGTGAGTTTCCGTCCCTCACCAAACGGTAGTGTCACAGAACCAGACTGCCCGTCATGGCACCAGTGCTAACCGTTCAGTCTGCAAGGGACACCTCCCTGTCAGTGACAGAGGAGTAATTCTGACACACTGAGTCCCTTACATTAAGACGAGAACTGGGAGTATGGTTCAGTGGTGGCATTACAGGTGTGTACACCATACACATTCCCTCACCTCTTGGCTGAACCCAAAGTGAGAGACAGTGGGGTGGGGAGGACTCTAGGGAGGAGAGATCTGAGGTAGAACCTAAAGGTTTTACTCTTGCACCTGTGAAAGTTCTTGGACACCAAGCTCTAACATACTCGGGTAACCAATTTGTAGAGCTGTCTTGTACGTGCTCGAGGAAGGGACACACACCCTGCTGCCGGCAGCGTGGTGCACACCTGTGTCCCTACCCGGAGACCCAGCAAGCCACAGCGCATGGGTTTCAGCGCAGCGGCGCCTCCCGCAGGCTCAGGGAACCGTAACGTGCTGGCCTGTGCTAAAGCACAGTGAGGTGTGGCATACACAGCCTCCTAGGGCCCCAGAGAAAGCTCCATGGCAGAGCTGAGTGTGCTGGCACACGTCTGTGACCCTGGCCTTCTGGCAGGCCGAGGCAGGAGGATTTTAGATTTGAGCACGGCCTGGGTTAGCCGAACTTAGTGGCTGAGCCGGACTCTGTGTCCAAATAAGAAAGGAAAAAGGCCAGGGAGGTAGCTCAGTGCAAAGGCCCTGGGTTCCGTCCCCAGAGCTGAAGACAGAGAAAGGACAGAGGGAACAGGAGGGAGCGGGTGGGGAGGAAGGGAAAGGCAAACAGAAAGGCCCAGGGCCCAGGGGTCCGGTGCAGAGCGCGGACACACCTTCCGGGGCCCAATCTGTCCTTCGATGGCGTGGCAGCCACTTGGGCAGCCACTAGATGTCAGCCTTGTTCCGCACCACGGGCGAAGCCCCGCCCGCGCTTGCGATGCCGCCGTGCACTCCGAGCGCTTGCTGCGCCCCGCCCCGGTTCTTGATGCTTCTTTTCTTCTTCTTCTTTTTTTTTTTTTTTTGGTTTTGAGATGGTCCCTATGCAGCCCAGGCACCAAGGGGACGTCGGGGGTCGCGGACGGAGGGACGCGCCTGCCCCGGGTCCAGGTCCTCAGAAGTCCGGCGCTGAGCGGCTGGCGCCGTGTCCGCCGTTGCACCCCCGCTGCCAGCCCGCTGCCCGCCAACAGGGACCGGGGGACACCGGACACGCGGCCGGCTGCGCGGGTAGGCAACATCCTCCTGCCACTGTTACCTGTACTTTAATCAGCGCTCTGGAGCAGCGTGCTTGTGGAAAGCCCCTCACTCAGGATGACTCAGCACCCTGTTAATCACTCCTGTCAGGCTTAGCTACAGACCCAGCAAGCACCCCGCTGGGCCTCCTGAGGAATCCCAGAGCCTGAGGCTGTTTCACTGTGCAGTTCAGGCTGGTTTGGAACTCACTGTGTACCTCAGGCTGGCCTCAGACTCACGGCAATCCTCCTGCCTCAGCCTCCCGAGTGCCAGGATCACAGGTGTGCCCACCACGCCTGGCCCTATCTGACTTAGCTGTGTACCTTTTGCTTTTCCTGACGTCGGCCCCGCTTTTCTGTCTGTGCTGTTTTAGTTTCTGCTGGCACAGGTCTGGCCTCGGCACGTTTCTC